TATTTCTGAGGAAAAGTCTGCCGATAGAGACGTTGAGCTTCTCTGGCATTCCCTTTAGCTGGTCCATAGATACAGTAAATATCTGCTTACTCGATATTTGAGTAAACAATTCTCACTGTCATCTTGAAACCCTAATTTTCACTATAAAACGGTTAGATTTCATACTAGATTAGATTACTATCATTCTACATTAGTTAAGGTTGGAAAGTTTGGAAGTTTAAACAATTAAAATTTTAACAGGCACAAATTATATTTAATCTAACAATAATAGATATATTGATCTTGTCGTAGCACCACCTCCCCTGTTTCCTGATATCGATCCTATTGAACACCTAGGAGAGGAATTAGATTGGAAAATTAAAAAAAAGAACCAATTCCAAGGCAGGAAAAGTAAGAATAACTATGACTTCAATGCACTCAATACCATTGTAATGCGTCGTTAAAATTTAATAGCTGCCGGCAAGTGTCGTTCATGAAACACCGAAAACCCTCATGGCTTTCTTACCACGGTACACTACAAACGTGTGAAAATACAGTATTAATAATTAAGACACTGACTATTAGGCAGCCATTGATCCTCGCTTGCTAAATAATTAACAGTGTCAATTAGTACTAAAGGAAACCTTTAACTTCATTCTGTCAAAAAAGAAATGATATTATTTTAATAACAATTTGCCTACGATATAAGTTGGAAGTGACTTCAGAGTTATACGCATAGACAGTAAGTTAGTTATGAGAATAGATAAGGGATATCTATAAAAATAAGAAGAGATAATGATGAAAACTGTGATAACTGGATAATACACATGTATTCGAACACGTGCATTCTATACGTTATGTTGCCCCAAGAATAAGAAAAGTGTTTTTAACAACTACCCCCGTTCCGAAGGAACGCGCTTAAGGTGCAAAGAGTAAGCGGGTAGTTGTAAAATTATCTGATTGGTGGAAGCTTCTTTTCGGGACTTCCACCAGTCGGCGAAAAATTAATCGAGCACCTCCTTAGGAAGGGGAAGTTCCCATATAAGGTGGAGACCGTGACAGTCGCGAACAGTTCCTCATGGACAATAAACAAAGATGGAATCTAGCCATCCAGGATAGAGCAAATAAGGTGATTGCTTGCCTCCGCATCCTATACTCCCTCATATACAGAAAAAGCAAACTAAGAGTTCATAACAAAAAACTGCTATTTACCACTGTAGCCCGCGCAATTCTCACATTCAAAACAAATTCCCCAGAATCATACTTAACAAAACCCGACAAACCAACATAAAAACCCTCCATAAACTAGCCAATCTTCTGATAATTTGGCAATTCATATTAAATCACGCCGCAAACGCGTACAATCCCAACCACAAAAACCCACCAATTCAACTCAAGGGAAAACCGATTGAAAAAAAAAGTCGCGGACAGTTCAGATGAAGTACTGATAGGTTTTGGATGGAAACTTTCTTCGACTAAATTGTTGTCTAAGAGTTCTCATTTCAATTACACGGCAAGAGATTAAATTCGAAAGTATACGTGGGTCTCTCGCAGTAACCTCCTCGTGGTGGACCTGGAAACTAAAACCATCGCCGATAGAGTAGTTCCTATCGAGATTGGAGCTAGGCTAATCGGCTGCGGCATTATATAACATATGCCGAGTAGTTATTCTTTAGCTTCATTCGCTGATTTCGCCGGTTTCTCCATTCACTCCGGTTCACTTGACCATGCTTGCAAATGCATCGGGCTGTGTGTCACCAGTCAGTTCTGCTGTTCGCGTACCTCGATGTACCGACTCGAAAGATCATGACGGTTGCATCGTGGGCGGTGGTGCTCGCGCCATCATACTCGTGGCTGCTTTTCCTAGGATTCTACTTCTCGGTAATCCGCCCCCAGTTCCTCTGGCTGGACAGCAGGACAGGGCATTGAAAAGTAAACGGGAGCCTATCAAGAGCACGCGGCCGTCCTCTGATCCGTAGATGAAGACATCGTAACTCGGGACTGTGGTTCTAGCTGGCCTGATCGCGGTTTGCTTCGCGTCACCCTCACCTTGCTCCTTTTCAATCAGAAACTTCTTCTCTGATTCCTCTCATTGTCAAATCGAGGACTTCTTGCTTAATTCGCCCCCTTTTGTTTCTTGGCCTGATAATTGCTCAGCGGCACTTGAATAGTTTTATAAGGCTAAACTGAGTTAGAATTAAGATTGTATCCCCTCATTTTGCTCTTGTTGAATCAGAGACTTCTCCTCTGATTTGTCTCATGCTCGAATGAAAGACTTCTTCTTCGATTCACTCTCGTTACTGCGATGATTGTATAAGTTTTGCGAAAGAAGACATCGATCGTACGCCGTGGGATATATCATTTCATTTACTAATTATGCTATATTAATCCCATTTTAATAATTATGCTGTTTCTTTTCATTTCAGCATAGACTCAAGAAAGAAGACAGCCGTCGGGGGATTATTATTAAGTACAACAACAATAACTGCGTTTAAAATAAGATTTATAATTAGAAAGGGAGGTCGATGGAATTCAATTTCCATCCACCTCCCAGGATCTCCATTCGCAGCAACCTCCTCGTAGTGAGACCTGGGCAGCTACCATTATTCTCATTACAATAATCCTTTTGTAAAAGGATCATGGTAGACTAATTGGCTGCCATAATTTTATAATTTCAATGTAAAATATGTTATCATCGACAGTTAAATATATAGACAATATTTACGTTCTTTGTGGATGTCAGAGAGAGTTGTTTAACTTGTTTACTTTTTAGTATGTTAATTATTCCGGTGCATAATTATAAAGTAAACGGAAGACCGCCAACTTTTAGAGCTCGAAGGCGAGGAAAGTTGCTAGATGGTATTTATTCACGTTACGAAATATGCACTTTACAGATTAGTGATTAAAGATTTCATGAATTTCAAATCTAAAAATTAATTGTTCGAATATTGAATCTCGTACTTTCCCATTTCTGAAAGATTTCTATATTATTTTATAAGTGCATAAAATTTTGCATTCTGCAAATAATTATAAAACTTTCTCACTTACGTGGAATTAGTGATCCTTGAGTTATAGTTGTCCTTCTTCTGTTGAAACATAACTTCCTACACTGCCCTTTTTTTTATATGTTGTAATACGTTGAGTTATGGTCCGTTCAATAATTTTGTCACGCGGAGTCAACAAATACTGATCGATTAATCCGATAATTATTAACCATGAGCTCCATAATCCGGAAAAAGTCCGTTATTAAAAATAGTTTTATTAACACTACACGGACGAGAATTTTTTAAACTTCTAAAAACTCTTCCCATAAAAAATACTGAAAATCCATCGAGTTCTTAAATACTGGAAAAGAAAAAGGTCGCATATCGATCCCTTGTTATTCGGATAATGACATTCATTTACAGCTTTCGATTTCAGATATGAAAGCTCGTAGTCGTCACTACGATTACATTCGACCGCAAAGGGTTAAACAGTGTATTAAAAATTATTTAATAAAATAATTGTTAGACCATTGCACCTAACACCAGAACTACCGTACCAGTAAAAATGACCGATTTCGATTTGTTTGTTTCACAATTATTAATATCTTAAAATCATTGAATACTCGAAATTATCTTGAAAATAAATATTTTCTTGGATACTATAATGAATGTCTGAAAAAAACTGAAAATAATCTATTGTTACAATTTTCATAGGGACTATATATTAATCATATTAATCCCTGGATCTACAATATCTTGTCAGACTCGCAGTGAAAATTTTAAACTGAATTTGACAAATCTAAATGTTATTTACTTTCTTTAAATATGAATTAAATATTACTTTTCCTTATCGATCGTTAACCGGGGGAGTAAACATAAACTTAGAACAAGCATAAAAATTCTTCCTTTTCCTAATGAATTATTAACAATAAAGCAGTTGTGTCGATCACACTTGAGAAATAAATCATAGGGCAAGGAGTTAAATGCTCGTTAGCTCTAGTACTAAATGTCATTATGATCGACCCTGCGAAATGAATCTTTCGGCGTGTTCCTCGACCGATAACCTGAAAGAATATCATCGAAAAGGAGGCAAAAACTCTGACCAGCCTGTAACGGAGTCCTCAATGACAATGGCATTTATTTCAACTGTTTCCAACATAAATACGTGAATCTTGTTGCTTTACCGAGTAGATAGAAAAAAAAGGAATTGAACTGAAACGCACTTGCCCACGGGGGAGAAAAATGGTTCCACCTAACAATACTGTTAGAAATCAAGCAAAAAAGAGAAGAGAAAAAAAAGAAGATAAAACAATACCTATGTACATACACACTAACGCAGTGCATCAGCATTTACATTCGCCGCATTCGTCTGTGTCCTCCAATATTTAGCATATTTCAGCCTCCTCAGCGACCTCAGAAATTCGTGTACTTCACTTACACACTTTTCTATTCCAAGCATCAACCAAGCCGCGGCTTTACACACGCACGCATGCATTCACGCAACGCCAGTCACCATACAAAAGTCGCGTAGGAAAATATAAATGAAATTCAACTGTTTATCTCTCTCTCTCTCTCTTTGTTTATCCCGAAATTTCATGGTTCTCGTATGTGTACGTGTAAGTGTACGGGTA